TGCAGGAATTTGCAGGGCTCTGAATTGGGCACACAGGTCTTTTTGTTTTTATCCCCCAAGCTGCTGAGGTCACTTTGATAACAAATACACAAGGAAATATCTGCAGCCAGTGTGAAACTGATGCCAGTGGCACCTTCACTCTAGGAGCTGAGCAGCTCATGGATCCACTGCAGGGCTTTTGTCATGGGAGGAGTTTACCCTGTGAATGGAAATAAAAGGGCTTTTGTTTACTTTCAAGGCTGTGAGGCACCTGTTTGCCAACAACCTGTAGAGGAGACCTTTCTCTGTGTGACTGCCATGTAGCTGGTGGTGAAAGCCTGAGAAGGATTGAAATTAAACCTGTGTTTAGAACACATTCCTTCTCCTCTTTGAGGTTGCTGCTTTGAAGCTCTGGCTGCTTTGCAGGGGCACTAAATTTCTCTGCTCTGCACGGCTGGCTGTTGCTGGGGGCTGTGCCTGGCTGGCAGCCCACACAGCAGCAGCATTTCAGTGCAGAGGACACCAGTGTTTTTCCCACCAGAGTTGTTACAAGTGCACAAGATAAAGGCCCTTTTATTGCCAAGGCTTCAGGTAGATCCTTTAAGTAATTTGTGTCCCAACCTCTGCAGAAGTGCAGACAGTGCTGTCCCTGCAGTGAGCAGTTGGGATCTACACAGGGAAAACAGCAAGGATGGGCAGAGGCGGGGGTGGGGGTTTCCAAGGGCTCCTTTTCTGCTGCTGTGGATTTTCTTGGAGTCTCACTGACCTGTGTTTTGCTTCCAGGGAGCGGCCTCGCATCCGTCTCTCCACCCTGGACATGGCCAGGCTGCAGGGGCTGCCGGATGGCTCGCTGGGCAGGGAGTATGTCCGGTTCCTGGAGAACAATGTGAGTGTGGGGTTTCACGGGGTGCAAATTCCTGTGGCTGATCCCTGTGCTGGGAGCCCAGGTGAGATTGGAGCCACAGAGTTGAGTTGGACCTCTTTGGACTTACAGAAGGTTTCTCCAGACACCCGGATGCCACCCAAGTTTGTTGATGATGAAGAGCTGGCATACGTGATCCAGCGGTACCGGGAAGTCCATGACCTGATGCACACCCTCCTGGGCATGCCAACCAACATGCTGGGTGAGCAGCAGTGGGCTCAGGGAGCTGCACTGCCAAACCCACTGATTGTGCTCGGCTGCCTCCCAGAAATGGGAGCAGGCTGGCCCCAGCTGGACTCCCTGATCCTCAGCCCGAGTCAGTGTGTGGGGATTTTGCATCGTCACTGTCCTACCTCACTGGCTCTGTGGTGACCAAGGTGGCCATGAGATGTCACATATTCCCTGCCAGGAGATGCTCTGCCCAAGCCCTGGGCACAGGTAGCCACGGGATGGGTGGCTTCTGCCTGGCAGGGAGGGTGACATGGATGTTTTGCAAGCTCTGTGTGAAGGCAGAAGGGAATTCCTAGTTGCTCCTTATCTGCACATCTGTATGTCCTTTGCCCTCATTTTGTGTCTGACTCAATAGCAAATCCCAAATGCGGCCTTGCACTTGTGCAAGGGAACCAGCATGACTGGTCTCAGGCTTTGCCTGAGTCCTGGCAGTTCTGTAAAACGCCTGTGCTGGGAGACCAGGAGAGCCACATGGAGCTTCGGGCCTTGGCACCACATTGCTGGGGTCTGCAGGGAGTTGGACTGCCTGGGACGTGTTCCCCAAGCTCCCAGGGCTTGTGGGATGCCATCCCTCTGGGGTGGGTGAGTGGTGTGTGACAAGCCCATCCTGGCACAGGATGATGCCATGGCCAGACTTAGGAAGCATTCCCAAGTAGCCATCCTTGGGAAGGGCAGATATGCAGCCTGTGGTGAAGAGCCACACAGCCCTGGCTGGCCGTTGATCCAGGTGCTCTGTGTGCTCACAACCTCCCTGCTCCCTCCCAGGTGAGGTGGTGGTGAAGTGGTTTGAAGCCATCCAGACGGGGCTGCCCATGTGTGTCCTGGGAGCAGCGTTTGGCCCTGTCCGGCTCAGCACACGGTAGGTGCCCAGTCTGTGCCCTGGGTACACCCAGCCTGTGTGCTGCTTTCCCTGGGGACAGAGGGGACACTGCTGCTTTGCAGGGGGGAGTCAGTCATGGATTTCTCCGTGAGCCTACTGCTGTCCTCACAGCCCAAGGAAGCGGTGACAGCTTTGCCTTGTCACTGAAGCAGAACCTGATGTTTAATCTGCATTCAACACCAGCTCCCCTGTGCCAGGCAGGAGCAATTTCCAGGCCTTGGATGGGCATGTCTTGGGGGCCAGCAGGACCCTCACCACACTGGCAGCTGTTCCCTGCCCCAGCACATCTATTATTCAGCAGTTGCAGAACCTGCGTTCTGGCCTTGGGTTGGTGCAGGTAACCTTCCTGGCACACCTGTTCTGTGCCTCAGTTTCCCCTGTGAGTTAACCAGGGGGGATGCCAGAAAGTTAGAGGGATACGTGGGACACATGGGCTTGGCATCAGCCTACAGTGAGAACTTGGTGAAGGAAATTAACAAAATGTGGATATCAAAACTGCCACCACCTGTATGGTTTATTGCAGAAAGCTGCAGGTTCTGGCCACCGAGCTGGTTCCCTGGGCCATTCGGAGTGGGCTCAACGCCAGCTGTGTCCTGAACGTCTACTACGAGCAGCGCTGGGAGCAGCCAGTGGAGTCCCTGCGGGAGGAACTCGGCATCTTCCCTCCCCCGGCCGTCCGAGTGTGAGAGCTCATGTCAGGAAGGGCCCGGGGGATCCCTTGGCAGCTGCACTCCACATCCTCCTGCCCTGCCCGAGAGCACGGCGTGGCTGTGCTCTGCCAACACCGACCCAAGGGCTCTATTTTCTCCTGCCAAGAGCTGGCACCAACCTGTTGGTAGGGGCCAGCTGTCACCTCCCTGTGCTGTGACAAAAACTCGACCATTTTTTGCTGTTTGTGATTTTGGTTGGGATGTCAAGGTCAGATGTGCCTTTGCCAGCTGGTCTGGCTGCTCAGGTCTCCCAGCAGCAGCATTCCAGTACTGACACTCCCAAATGCTGGGATGGGGAGGGAGCACACTGCTTGCTTTGCACACTGATGCCTTGGCCTTCTGCAGCTCCGGGGCTGTACAGGTAAATCCTTCCTCCCACTCCTCCCATCCTGGGAAGATCAAGGCTTCAAGTCTTGAGGCTGCCATGGACTGGAGCTAAACCCATGATTTCCAGAGGAGTGCAGGGGCAGGTTTGGTGTGTGCAGTGGTGAAATCCCATTTCGTATTGGTGCCCAACTGGTTTCCTCTTGGGTCATATTGGATGTGCCTCATTCCTGCCTGACAGTGTGTGATTATGTGCCCACGGGGCAGGCAGGGAAATACTTTTGGGTGTTTTCCCTCCTGGATTGGCTGTTTTGAGAGCCGATCCCAGTCTGCTGTGTCTCCCTGTAGTCCCTCCCCATCAAAAATGATGAAATCCACATGATTGTGCTGGCTGTTCAGTAGGAATCATCCCTTCCTTGGGCAACAAAATGACACAGTTGGGATTATGGGATTGAATCCAGTGAGTGCAGAAACAGCGGCTGCTGGTGCTGTGTCTGGGAGCTGATTGCTGTCTGGGTTAATTAAACTGTGCTCCAGACTGCCAGCAGCCAGGCAGCAGAGTTGCTGGATGTGATGGCAAAGAGCCACGAGGCCAGGGGCTCTTTGTTCATGTGTGTTTGCTGTTGGAATTCCTCCTCGTTTAATAAAATCCATTCTGGGGCTTGTAGTTCGTTACCCCTGTCCTTTAGCCCCACCTCCCCTCCTGAGCTGGAGACCTGATGTGAAACCTCACCTCTTTTTGGCTTCAGCAGGTTTTCTTCCTGCCCCCCAGACTCCCTTTTTCTAACTTCTCCCTGCATCAGCTACCCCACGCCAGACTTGGGGTTTTTATCCAAATCCTCCCTTGGCCCCCAGAATTATTTCAAACATATTAAAAGACAGCATATAAATACATCCTTTAGCTGCCAGTAAAACACACAGGGTGGGGGTTGTCCTAGTGCAGTGGTCGAGATGAAAGAAACATTTGCCTCTAAAATGACCCAGAAATGTCAGAGCCTTGGGGTGGATAAACCAAAGGGCAGCAAAGATTTGCTTCCAGGAACTGTGAGTGGCAGTCAAGGAAACGTGGGAAATGATGGCCTTGAGAGAGGGTTTTGCTGCATTTTGGGTTATTTAACGAGGCCATGAAGTGTCTGAGCTGTCAGTGTTGGTGGTGCCGCCACGTATGACTCAGTGGGCTGGTGCCAGCGCTACAGAAATGGCACATCGTGTAATTTTAAACGGCATCTGCTCAGCCGGATCAAGTAACAGTCTCTGTGGCTCCTGTTCCTGCAGCCATCGCTTGGGGAGCCTGCGAGAAGAAGGCGACAGAGGGAGCGGAGAGTGATTCGGGGAAGGCAGACACTAGCCACGTGAAAATGCTTTTTTTGGAGAGAATACATTCGCTGTGGGCAAGTGGCAGCTCCACCATGCCCATGCTGCGGGGCCGTGCTGGGACTCGGTATCTGTAACCCCTGAAACGCTGGGACGGATGGCCGGGATTTTCCCCGGTGCCCGGGCCGCCCCGGGCCTCGCTCCCAAAACGGGTCTCCCTCCCTCTCCGCACTCTCCCGGAGCCGGGCGGACCCTGCGCGGGAGCAGCGCCCGGGGGCGGCCGCGGGACCCCCGGCCCGATGCGGCCGCCGAGCCCCGGGAGCGATCGGCGCGGCCCGGCGGCAAAATGCGACTCTGGTGGGACTCGAACCCACAACCTTTGAATGACTCCCGTCACACAGCTAGAAGTCCAATGCGCTATCCATTGCGCCACAGAGCCCTCGCTCTGCCGCGCCGCCCTCACCGCCTCTTCCCCGTACCCCGCCCGCCCCGCCCGCGCCACCGTTCTCCGGCACCGCGTCCGTCACCGCGGGGCCGGGCCGGTGCACCGGGCGGGACTACAGCTCCCGGCGGCCCGCGCTGCCCGCCCCTCCCCGCCCCTGCCGCAGAGTCGGGCGGGCCCCGCTCCCGGTGCAGGTGGCCGGGCCGCATCGGACGCCCCGGAGTCCGGTAAGAGCGTGGCACCATCCTCCCCATCCCCTCCGTCAGCTCCTGCCGCCGCCGCCGCGGCCGCGCTCCCTTCCCGCCGGCGGCCCCGCGGGCTCCCCATCAGGCGGCGCGGCCTTGCGGGCGGCACCGGGGTCCCTCCGCTCCGCCGCATGAGGTACCGGGGCTCCTTGTAGGGCACCGTGGCAAGCACCGGGGTCCCTGATTGCCCCGGTGTCCCCAGGAGCGCGCCGCGGGCCCTCGCCGCGCCGAGAGCGGCTGTGCCCGGGCGGTTCCGGGGCCTGGCCGGGGTTGGGTGGCGGGGCCCGGCTGCATCCCGGCGCGGGGCCCTCCCGCCTTTCCGCCTCGTGTAATGGGGCTGGGGCAGCGCTGCTCCATCTCCCTGCTGGGGTCCTCAGGAGGGTGAGACGGGTGTCCCTACCCAGGGCAGGTGGGGGACAGGTGTCTCCCAGGTGCCATTAGCGCTGGGTCTTCTCACAGCCCGGCCACCTGCCCCTTGTTCCCCCTGTGACCCGCTCCCCGGGCCCTCCTCAGGCTCGGTGCTCCCCGGGTGGATCTCTGCGCTTTGCCTCGGTGCCTGCTGGCTGTGAGCTACAGGCAGGGCTTCGTTTTCTCTGTGCTGATGCAGCTGGACAAGACCTGAATCTGTAACGCAGGGCTGGAGGTCTCCGGCAGCGACACACCGGGTATTTCCCGGGAATCTCGGGAATCTCTGCCCGGTTATCTTCGCAGGAGGCACCGGGATGCCGGAGTGAGGTGGAGATATGAGCAGAGGATAACAGGGGCTTGCCTGAGCCTGCCTTGCCTTCAATTGGGAGATTAAGCACTTTGCTGCCCACACAGAGCAGGGCTCCCCCGCTGCTGCTCCTCCACATCTGGCTGGTCTGAGGCTGTAGCGGAGAGCCCAGGCCCTGGCTGGGGCACAGTAGTTTGATGATGACCTAAAGGTTGCCCTATTTAAGTGCAGAGAGAGGCTCCCAGGCAAAAACACAGTGAGTCCTGCCCTGCCAAAAGGGAGAGGACATCATGTCTGGGAGGCAGGTGTTTGGTGGAGAGTGTCACTGGCACAAGGGGGAATCTCAGGGTAAGGACTATGGGTGGGAAAATGTCTCCAGGTGTCCACCTGGGAATGGCATCTTGTGCTGTGATGCATCCCAGCCTACTGCTGGTGGCACAACTCAGAGGTGGGACAGCCAGCGAACGAGACGTGTCAGGGCACGGTGACCATGTGGCACTGCCTTGGCTCCCACCCTGCCAGCATCTGATATCAAATCCTCAGAAGCTCCTTGGATCTGGGGGGACTGCACAGAGCAGAGGGAAAGACACAAGTGTGGCTCCCAGCCCCACCAGTTGTAGAAGAGTCCATGCAGGGCTTCCAGCTTCAGAGCAGTGAATCAATCTTCAGGAGGGAAATGATGCAAGTGTTTCCTTCCTCTTTGGCCTGTGTCCATGCCAGGAAGGGCCAGTTTTATCTAGGAACTGTGAGGGTCATATCTCTGTCATTTTCCTCCTCACAGTGCTGTTGCCTGTAAAGAGCCATGGCTAGATCACTGTCTCTGGGTCTCAGAGCCACTTCTGGCGTGTGTCAGGGATGGGGACAGAGATGCTGTTTTGGATGGATGAGTACCAGAGTATGAGTATGGGATGAGTACCCAGGGAATGGGGCAGGGGCCTGGGCACTCCTGGCAGCAGTGACAGCCCTTGTTCTGCCCGCTCCAGCCTGTCCTCACCCCTGACCTGCTCTGTCAGTGTCTTCAGCCTAGCTAGGCCAGGAAACTGCTCACCAGCATGAGGGTTTGCAAACACAAGCAGAGCTCAGAGAACCGAGTTTCCTGTCCCTGATCCTGTCTGAGCTGTGTCACGGAGCACGTGAAGCTGTGCTCTTCCAAAAGCTATGATGGCTTTCCTGGAGTCAGGCATGCAGGGGAGCTCATGCTCAGGGCCTGGGAGACTCTGGATTTTGAGGACGGAGGGATTCTGAGGTGGAGTGGAGGTTTCCAATCATCTGTACAAAGTCTTCTGTCCTGACTTTGCTCACACATTGGAATTGACTTTATCCTGCATTTCATGTTGCTGGGGCGTGGCCAGACCCCTGGCTGGTGTGCAGGATGTGGCTCCCCAGGTGGGAATGGCCGGGCTTTGGGCTTGCACTGAGCAATGCCATGCTGATGGCTCAACTGGAGGCCATCTCCACAGTCAGATAAAGTTACATCTCTGGGAGCTCTGGGCTGCTGGGTTACGTCCTCACTGCCAGGTGGACTGATGACTCAGGGACCTCATCCAGGAAACTGGGGGCTGCTCAAGCATCCCACACCCATGGGATTGTTATCAACAGGTCCAGTGTGCATGGGCTGATGGCCGTGGTTTCTCTCTCCCTGCAGGCCACGATGCTGCGTTTGGCTGCTTTTGCAGCTGTGCTGCTGTTCTTCAGGGTCACTCTGGAACTGTCCTGGGCCCAGGCCATCCCTGCTCTCTTCGTCTTCTATCTGGCATCCGGTGGATGGGACTTCTTCCTCGTATTCCTCAAGACAGTTCCAAGGGACGTCAGGTAGGTGTCCTGGCTGGGATGGCCCAACTATCCACCCCTGGCCCTCTGCTCTACCTTGGTGTATGTGTATGTGTGACCACAGCCCTGACTCCTTGCACAGCCTGAGTTTCTGCTGGCACCTGGCCTGGCTGGAAGGAGATCTCCCTCTGCCATGTCCGAGTGACTCCAAGCTCTCGGGCAAACTTTTCCCAAGAAGGATAGATTTCAGCTGAGTTCAAAGTCTATTGACTGTCCTTGTATTTCATCCTGTCCCTAAAGCTGCTGGCGTAGCACCTGGCCCCTGTGCAAGGTTCATTCTGAGTTGGTATCAGGCTGTGCCAGCTCCTGGCAAGGATTTGTGGGGGTGGGAGTGGTGGTACCCCTTGGAGAGCATCCAAAGTTCAAAAATACCCCTTTGATTGGGGACATCCCTGTCTGCAGACTTCCAAAACACAGCTCTCCGTGGCCTCCACCAGTCCCTGGCTATGAGCATCTTTGCAGATGTGTTCTGCTTATGTGCACACTGCTCAGGGGAGCACGCAGAGCTGCCGCTGACCTAGAGTGGGGTCTGGTGTAAGTGCTGGGCTGTTGCAGCCCCTTGGAAGGTCCTTGTGCTGTGCTGGCTTTGCTGCAAGAAGTTGTTTTGCAGGGGTCACTGAGCAGCTGCCCTCTTGCTCCCCTTCCTTTGGCAGCACGGGGCTGGTCCTGTTGCGGGTGAAGTGGCAGGTATGGAGGCACGTGAGGGAGAAGAACACAATCGCCAAGATCTTCCAGAAGACGGCGAGGAAGTATCCAGAGAAGACAGCGCTGATCTTCCAAGGCACAGGCGAGAGCTGGACCTTCCGTCAGCTGGACGAGTACTCCAACCAGGTGGCCAATTTCTTCTATGGCCAAGGCTTCCGCTCGGGTGACGTGGTGGCGCTTTTCATGGAGTCCCGCAATCAGTACGTGGGGCTGTGGCTGGGCCTGGCCAAGATCGGCGTGGAGACAGCCCTCGTGAATTCCCACCTGCGCTTGGAGGCCTTGCTGCACTGCATCACCATCTCCAGCTCCAAAGCTGTGGTTTTTGGGGTGGAAATGATGGAAGGTGAGGGGCTGGCAGATGTTTTGGGAGTGCTTTGGACTGGAGGGAGGTGTGTCTAGTCAGTGGGTTCAGTGTTCCTTTTCTGCCCACCACAGAACAGAGATCTGGAAGAGAGTAGGCAGTTGAATCATGCAGGAATTAGATTTGGATTTGGGTTTTTTTTATTGTTGATTCCTTTGGACACTGGACAGGATCTGGGGTGCAGTACTGTCTACCTCCCAAGCAGGCCAGCCTGGGTATGAAGGTCCTTCCTTGTGTCTCTCAGGTCCATTCCCAGCATAGAGAACTGGGTTGGGCTGTGCCTGCCCCACTGCACGGGAGGAGCCTCCCATTGCTCTCCAGGGCTATTGCTACATCCCTGCAGCACCTTGGCTCCAGTTCCTTGTGTGTTTCAGCCCACACCTCTGAGGCTGGTGGTGTCAACAGACCTCTTGGCACCAAAGAGGTTTTGGATGGGGGAAGGTGGAAAACAGGATCTTCTGGTCTCTGAAGAGGTCTGGGCTGTGGCCCCAGCATCTTTTAATCATGGGAACGACATCTGCCTGGGATGGCTGTGAGCCCTTTGCGGACTCTGCCAAGCACAGTGGGGGTACTGCTACCTGGGACAGGGTGTCCCTCAGACTGTCTGGGAGGACAGGAGGTCTCTGTGCTGTAGCCACCCTGCCACTTTTCTCCAGCTCCCCTCTTTACTTTCTCAGCAATGCAGGAAGTGCAGACCTCCTTGGATAAATCCATCCAGCTCTTCTGGTCTGGGGAAGAAAATCCTAAATCCGTGCTTCCTGGTGCAAAACACCTGGACCCCCTCCTGCAGATGGCCCAGCGACACCAGCCAGCTCCCCCTAATAAGGGCTTTCTTGGTATGTGGTCAGCTCTTGGGGCCAGACGTGGTGATTTTGAGGGTCAGCTGGTTACAACTCTGGCAAGACTGCTGGGGATGCCAATGGCAAGGGATGTTTGGGATGGGTCTTACTCCAGTTTTGGAAGCCCATCCCTGTGTGGAGCAGTATCCTGTCATACCCTCCATGTGTCCAACAAACCTGATCTGCCTGGGGTGATTCCAACATGTTCTTGGAGCTGTTACATAAGAGTTTTGGCTCAGCTGGCACCAGTAAAGTGTTTAAATTTTGCTTGCCCCCTCTCCTGGTTCGACCACCTCCTAGATTGGGAATGTGACCCTGTCTCCTCATTGTTTCCCAGATAAACTCTTCTACATCTACACCTCTGGCACGACAGGGCTGCCCAAGGCTGCCATTGTGGTGAACTGCCGGTAAGGCTGTGGACAGGGCTCAGGGAGGATGGGGCTGAGCTCTGCCCCATCTCTGCACAGCACCCCTGACCCTGCTCCTGACATGCCTTTTCACTTTCCCCTCAGGTTCTTCCGCATGTCCAGCTTAGTTTTTTACGGTTTTCGGATGAGGTCCGACGATGTGATGTATGACTGCCTCCCGCTCTACCATGCTGCAGGTAACGTGTGCCATGCAGAGCCTGGCATCCTGGGACTGACTCTTCCCTCAGCCAAGCCCAGGGCTCTTGGGAGGCTGGTGTGGTTGTGATCTCCATGTCGAGGAGGATGAGACTGCTGCTAGCAGTCTGTGACTGAGGCGTTTTCTGCTTTTTCCCTGGAAGCCAAGTATCGATCTGGCTGACCTTTGGAGCAGGGAGTGTGGGGGGAGGGTGTTATCCTACTCTGGGTTTGGAATACCTGTTCCTTATTGCTGCTCCCTGTGGAAAGTAAGGGGGGGAAGTCTAGGGAGAGGGGAAGCAGTGTCTGCCTGGCTGGCTGAGACATGCTGGGATGTTTAGGTGCGAAGTGCTGCCCTACGTGTAACTGCCATGTGTCTCCACCCTTGTGCCCGTGGTCCTGGGGGCTTTGGCTGGCTGAACCCCACTGCTGTGAGCCAGCCATGGCCTCTGCCTTGCTCTGCCAGTTCTTTCCCTAGGTGGGCTGGGCTGGAGGTGTTTAGGGACTGAGGGCTTTCCTGGCTGCCTCTCTGCAGGGAACATCGTGGGGATTGGGCAGTGCCTGCTGCAGGGCATGACGGTTGTCATCCGCAAGAAGTTCTCAGCCTCACACTTTTGGGAGGACTGTGTGAAATACAACTGCACGGTGAGGCCGTGAGGCAAGGGGCCAGTGGGGAGTGGGCAGTGAAGCCTGGGGTCTGTGCCATGCTGGGAAGAGCCCAGCTGCTGAAAGTGGGGGATACCTGGACAAGTTCTGTCTGTCCAAACTGCCTTTCAGGGTGGTGGGGCTGTGTCCTTCCCACCTGGGCTGGTAGCTTTGTGTGTCCTCCTCACATTCCAGCACTAGCCAGGAGATAGTGGATGGGTTTCACAGCCTGGAGAGGTGGGTTAACCAGGGAAGGACAGGCTGGATGAGTTAGCAGAACTTCTCTTTTTTACTATGGCCTCTTTAGCAAACTTTGGGTGTGTTGTGCCATTCCTTCCTGCCCTGAAGAAACCTCAGACAACCAAGGGCCTGGCAGAGGGGTCCTAGTGACTCTTTCCTCTCTGTTGCTCCCAGATTGTGCAGTACATCGGGGAGATCTGCCGCTACCTGCTGAACCAGCCATACCAGGACGCGGAGCGGCAGCACCGGGTGCGCATGGCCCTGGGCAATGGGCTGCGGGCCTCCATTTGGAGGGAGTTCATGGCCCGCTTTGGCATCACCCAGGTGGCCGAGTTCTACGGGGCCACCGAGTGCAACTGCAGCCTGGGAAACTTTGACGGCAACGTAAGGCCCCACAATCCTCCCTCATGTCCCAAAGGGTGACAGCTGCTTTGGACAGGGTTGGAAACCCAAATGGGCTGTTTGCTCCTTGGCATGGGTTGCCATCCACCCAGAGGGGTTTTGGCTGTTGTGTGGTGCTACCTCTGTGGTGTCCTAGGAGCATGTGAGCAGTGTGTTCAGGTGGGACAAATGTCCTTGCTACCCACAGCTCTGAGCTCTTTCTGTTCTAGGTTGGGTCATGCGGCTTCAACAGCAGGATCCTACCAGGTGTGTACCCCATTGGCTTGGTGAAGGTGGACGAAGACACTATGGAGCTGATCCGGGGACCGGATGGTGTCTGTATCAGCTGCAAACCAGGTGAGGACAACTGCAGGGATAAAATCTCCTCAGCCTTGTGTGAGTGTGAGCGTTTCATGATACCTTAGGATAATTTCCCTGGATTTGTCTCTGCTCAGTTAAACCACACCAACTCCATTAGACACCTTTTTGCTTGGGGGTGTGGTGGTATTTCCCCCCTTCATCCCCTCTTCTCATTGCAGGGGAGCCAGGGCAGCTGGTGGGTCGCATTGTCAGGAGCAATCCCCTGCAGCACTTCGATGGCTACCTGAATCAGTCGGCCACCAACAAGAAAATTGCCAGAGATGTGTTTACAAAAGGGGACGCTGCCTATCTCACAGGTGAGGCCAGCAGGACCCCTCTGTCTGCTGAGAGTGGAGGAGAAAGGCATCTGTGTGGGAGTGGGGACTCTCCCAGGGTAGTAGCACTTCCCTAAGATGCTCCAGGTTTGCTCCTAGCTGACACCTCATTTTTTTGCCTACTCATTTCTTTCCCATAGGGGATGTCCTGGTGATGGACAAGTATGGCTACATGTACTTCCGAGACCGCACCGGGGACACGTTCCGGTGGAAAGGGGAGAACGTCTCCACCACGGAGGTGGAGGGAACCCTGAGCCGCATCCTCAACCTGACAGACGTGGTGGTTTATGGTGTGGAGGTCCCAGGTATCTGAGAGGGAAGTGGACAATCAGGAGAGGCAGGCAGGCCTCCAACACTTGAGTGTGGACATGTCCTGCATGTTCAGATTGATGTGTCCTTTGACAAGAGGGTGGACAAGAGAGGCTCCCTGTGGGCGAGCTGGGAAGAGACCATAAAGGGTGTGGCTAGCAGGAACCAGAGGGTTTCCTTACTCTCTCAAGCTTTGGTCTGATTCTGGCTGGTTTGTAAGGACCCTGTGTCTTCTTTGGCCAAGACTGTGACTGCAGGGTGTTGCTGGTAGCCCTGGCCACAGCATGATGACACAGCAGTGACACAGCTGGACGTGCCAGCACTTCACTACAAAGCAGGGTCTCACTGGTGCAGGGCAGAGGAGAGATGGTGCTACAGGGACGGTGTATCTGACTGCTCTTCATTCTCTGCCTCTAAGGGATTGAAGGGAGGGCAGGAATGGCAGCCATTGCTGACCCAGAGAACTCCTGTGACCTAGAAGACTTTTCCAGCAAGCTGAAAAAGGCCCTGCCACTGTACGCACGTCCTGTCTTTCTGCGGTTCCTGCACGAAGTCTCCAAGACAAGTGAGCCATGGCATGCACACTCACACTGGACATGGAGCTGGGGGAGCCTGGGAGGGAAAAACCTGGTTACAGAGATCAGTCTGTAGGGTGGGGATGGAGCCTCTCTGCCACACAGAGCCCATGGCCAGTTCCTCAGGTTGCTTTGAGGCATGAGGACACAAGGCTGGGTCTGGGGCAGCACAGATGTGGTGGGGATGGAAGTGTGTGTGGCTAGTGAGCCCTTACTCCTTCTCTCCCCATTCCAGGCACTTACAAGTTCCAGAAGATGGAGCTGCGGAAGCAGGGCTTTGACCCCACGCTGGTGAAGGACAGGTTGTATTTTCTGGACTCCAGGCAAGGCTGTTACCTGCCACTGGACCAAGCAGCGTTCAACAGAATCCAGTCGGGAGCCCAGAAGCTGTAACTGGTGGGGATCGAGCAAGGCACCTCACAAATCCTGCTGGGGAGAGGGGGCAAGGCAGGCACTGGGGAAGGAAGGAGTGATATAAAAGGCATGCTAGAGATTTTATTTGACAAGTTTTACAGATAAGGGTTTTGGGGGAACACACAGGGGATTGAGGGGAGGGGGATGGTCACATACCAAAGCATTGATTCATTATGGCTTTATTTTCTATTTGGTACAGTGGTGGTGCTCCCATGCCATGGGAGGGCATGGCTCTGGCCAGTTAAGGAAGAACGGGGTGCCCCTGCCATTCCACTTTGCTTTTCCTGTCTTTCCCTACCTTTTCCTGCCTGCAGCAACCCTTCCTTGTGAAGGCCATGAAGAGACCAGTGCTGGCCTCTTCCCCACTCCTCTACCACCAGCCCCTCCTTGGCACGGGGACCCGGCTGGCAGAGGGAAGGTGGGTGCCAGGCACAACCCCTTCCTTCTGCTCAGCCTTGCTCGTGTTGTGTGTCTGCTGTGAATCAGGGGAGCAGGGTAGTGTTGGGCTCAGGAGGGGGACAGGGGTGTGTTTCTGCCATGCCTTTCTCTCTCCTGGGGATGACATTTCTATTTTTCACAATCACACGCACATTATATTATATTATATTATACATATATATATATGTGTGTGTGTATATATACATATATATGTATGTAATACACGCTTTTTTTTTTTTTTCAATCTTAATTTATTGTCTGTACTTTTGAATGTGTCCCGGGTTTGTGCAGTAGGTGGAGGGATAGCCCAGACCTGTCCTCTCTTGGAGAATCCTTTTCTCTCGCAGGGAGGTGGGATGCTCATCTGAGACTGATTCTCCTCTTCCAGCGTGGGTGCAACTGTAAATGTCCTTGTGGCCTTGCTCCATGGTGGAGGACATGAGCAAATCCCACTGTCTTGTGGACACTTCTCTGGGTCTTTTACTTCCATCTTTTGTGGATGCAGCATTGTTTTGTGAATCTTCTTCCTTGCAGAAAGCAAGTGGGAGAGTGGGAAGAAGGGCCCAGTTGCCTTTGCTTAGATGTACTCAGGAGGTAGTTTGCCTGGGGAGAGAACGTCCTCTGGAGGATGGCCTCTGTGAGAGCCTGACTTCATGTGCTCTGCATCCCTTCCCAAAAGAGCCCTCCCTGTCTCCAGCACCGGAGCAGGGCCCTGAACTGAAATGTCCGTGTGAAATATCTGACTTGTGCTATGTGAATTCCCCAAGTTGTGTCTGACATGAAACAACCTCAGCTGCGATGTTTGATTCCAGTCTTCAGAAAACAAGCAGAAATTTCTCTTCCAGAGAAAACTCTGGGTTGGGTTGCTTTTTGGTTTGTTTTTTTTTTTAATAATTTGTTTTTATGCTTTTAGCAGGGTTACTCCTTAAAATGACATCTGTCTTTTGTGAGGGCAGGATGTGTCTGTTCTTCTAGCTGTGCTTCCACTCCAACGTACCTGCCTGCCCCAATCCGTCCCAGTCTCACAATTAAACACAAGTATGGGCCTATGCTGATGTTTCCTACCTCTTCCTTGTACAGTCCTGCTCTGTGAGGGAAGGTGGGGGACTGTGCTGGTTTGGGAACTGCCACTCCAGAGCATCACTTCCCTGTGTGCATTTTGACTCATCTGAGAGCCAGGGGAAGAAGCCCCTTCCTGCTGGATTTAATGACTATGTGAACACAACATGTTGATCAAATCCTCACCAGTTTCCTCCACTAACTCTCCACACCCTGTTTTTCCTCATTCTGTCCTCAGCATTGCCATCCCAATTTGTCTTGGCCCAGTTCTCCCTGTTTTCCCTGGGGCATGTTCCACTGCTCTCCTGTTCTCTGTTTCCTCTTCCTGCTGCTTCTCTCTGTGTTTGTCCATGATGAACTTCCCAGCTAATTTCTGCACTTGCAGACAAGTTTTCTGGTAGCCATTCCACTTCCCTTGCTGCCAGAGCCATCTTTTTGACCTTCTGCATCCAACCCTGGTGACAGGAAAACCTGACTCCTTCTTGGTGTGGGGCTGCGAGGGACAAACATGAGCCTGAGTGAAATGTGTTGCCTGGTGAAACACACCGTAAGAAAAGTTGGAAATTTGCGTCCTTTATATACCAGCTTCACCTTTGGACATGTTCAAATGGGTCTCTTCTCCAACATCTCTGAGATGAAAGCTTTAATTTTAGTTTTTCAGTCTCTTGGACACTCACCAAAGCAGCTGGTGGAAAACAGACATCACCCCCACAGCCCTGCAGCATCCAGGGGGCTCAGCCCTCAAAGAGCGTGGCTTTGCCCGTATTTCGGGGCCGGGCAGTGCAGCACTGGTGGCTCTGCAGGTGCTCTGCTCTCACTTGTGGGCTGCGTTCCGCTCGCAGCCACCAGAGGAGGGCAGGCTGGGCTCGGCGAACGTCTCCCCTCCGGGACACGCTGCCGGGGCTTTCACAGACAGCCCTGGTGCGGCGCTCAGAGCCCTGCAGGGGTGGGATGTTGGGGCAGGGGAGTTACCCACGCAGGGTGGGTGCCTGAGATGGAGAGGAAGTTTGGGATGCAGAGAATGGTGCTGGGTGCGAGGCCAGCGGCAATCCCACGCACTGGTGTCCGCTGTGCTCGGGCTCCTGGCTGGAGACTGTGCCTGACGGAGACTTGGGCAGCAGCGAGGGCACCGAGCTCTGCCAGGTGGGTGGTGGGCAGCGACCTGAACCACCGGGCCTCATCCAGCTTTCTGCTACAGGCAATGAGGAAAAGCTTGGCCTCCCTCAAGTCACACCTGGGGGTGGTCATTGGGAGATGGGTGGTTTGGAGATGAGGATGCAGAGGGACTGTACTCCCTCCCTGCAGGAGATAGCCATGCTGAAGAAAGAGGGGTTGCAAGGCAAAGCTCAGCGCTGTGTTTCTGTCTGTCAGAGAGCAGGGTAGGTTAAAAAAACGTACCGAGGAAATTAGGCATTCAGGGCACTGCCTGAAACGCAGATGTGAATAGCTTTGGAAGCTTATGGAAATATGGCTGTTACTTGTTTGCAAGTGAGCCCATACAAATGGAGACTGGGTTGCACTGTTGGATTTTGGAGATGGATGGGAATTACAGGCCTGTGAGAGGAGCAGGATGTAGCCCTTGGTGGTGCTGACACAAATCAGGAGCCAGCTGTGAGGAGGGGCAGCTGCAGATGCAGGCAAGAGGAGCAGGATGAGGCCCCTCCGAGGCGAGAGCTCCTGCTCTGGGGAGATGAGAGGTGCTGAGTCACTGGGAAAGAGCTCAGCAGACATCATGGAGGGCTCTGGTACACAGCCCATCAACAGCAGAGACCTGCAGGGCTGTGCCAGAGGGCTGGGGTGTGCATGTGCCACACACCTCTGTGCCAGAGGATTTCCCAGGGAGAGGGGAGCCCCAGGGAGTTGTGTTCATAGCTCTGAGTAATGCTCAGAGGAGCCCCCCTGCCCAGCGAGGCTGGTGTTGGGGGGTTGGTCCCCTCTGGAGATCTGGTGCCCGGGGACCATTCACCATTGGAGCTGTGTTTGTCCTGACTCAGGAGGGTTGTGTCGCACTTGGCAGTGCTTCAAGATTCCCTGAAACACCCAGCTACACCAATTAGAGTTTTTCTGCTGGCTGTCAGCTTTGGGTTGAAATCCTGGGGCGTTTCTAAAGTCGCAGCTCCTCTGGAAAAATGAAGTTTATGTGCAAGTGTCCCTGCAGCTCTTGGGCCAGAAATACAAGTGCAGGTGTGGTGCTGAGCCTGGGATCAATGCTGAGACACAACACTTCCAGCAGATAGGTATTTGGAATGAAGTAGCCAGTGTTTAATCATAGTTTGATTTTTAAAAATATCTTTTTATTTGTGCACTTTTAAGGAAGATATTTTAATTGAATCCTCTATGATTACAGACACCTTGTGAGACATCCCTCCTCTTTGATCAATGCACTAGTCTGGCTCAACAGCTGCATGTAGATAAAAGTCCTATACATAAAGTACGAGGTATTGTTCTGTTTTAATTAAAACACTTAAAATTCTGTTTGCATGAGGTTAAGAAAACATTAAAATCCTTTCCAGGGTTATTATCAAACTGCTGATTTAAGCAAAGCCAAAGAGCTTTACAAACCAAATGTACTCTTCCCCATGGAGATGACTGCTTCTCCCAGACCCTGTGTCCTGGACAGTGACAATATATCAAGACAAAAAATGTGGCAACTTTCTTTCTGATCTGCTCTGGGTCCAGCCCAGCCACGCCATGCTTGGTATGCAAAACTGGAGTTTATTTTAGCCTTAATGCAGGTGGGGGTTTTGCAAGTTGCTCAGAACCTTTCTGAGTGAAATTAATTTCTGCTGCTGAGAAAGTCTGTGAAAATCTTTAACACTGCATCTCTCCAGCCTCCTCCTGCCACTCTTGGTGTGCCAGAGCCTTCCCAAACAATGACAGCTGCCTGCTCTTCTGCACGCTGGGGAGCTGGCTTTGCCTTTAAGCAGTGACAGGGAAATATTCTGGACTAAAGAAGAGACTATCCTTTGGTGCGCTCTTTAGAAATGGAAATACTTGATTCCCCTGAGTGGTTCCAGTGTAACCAGGAGCAGGGCCAGCAGTGGCTTCTCCCTCTCCAGTTTGAAGGGACTGTGTGGCCAGGGATTCCACCAAAATGATGGTCTGGGAAGATCTCGTCATGCTGTGTGAGAGGGAGGGGAGAGCAGCTTTCCTTTCCAAAGGAGAGAGGCTTCAGAAAGGAAGAGAATATCCTTAGGGCTGTTTTCCTGCTGGGCTCTTGGACAGCACGGGATGGCTGGACTCTGCAACTGAGCGAGGCTCAGGGAGCAGGGATGGGTCCTGCTCTGCTTTCTTTGAGCCTGGCCCATTTCAGTGGCAAATCCCACCTTCCAAGGTAACCTTAGGTTTGATCTGCTTATCTCCTGGTTCATTAAAAAGTCCACACATAGGCACAAATGATGGCAAGCCAGGCTCTGGGAGAGCTTTGGGCAGTTGAGATCATGCAGGAATTGCAGGCGATGGCGATGCTATCCAAGTCCAGGACATATTCCTGCTCAGGATGTGGGTCATTGCCCAGATCTTCCCTGATCCCTCGACAAATGATCTCAGACTTGTGAAGTGGGATATGACCCCTACTGTGCTGCATCCCCCTCCTTGTTACAGCCCTGCCTTCCTCTAATCCCCTCCTTGGGGGTGCAGAGCAGCTTCCCCAGTATCCTGCCAGCCCAGGCAGGATCTGTGGCCTGATCCTGCCCTGGAGGTGACACCTCCCACGACCTGCACGGGGCCCGGCACACCCGCAGCGCTGTGCCAAGGAGCCTGAGGAAGCGAGGGCAGCCAGAGCCTTCCTCCTGCCCCCGGCCATCCAAGTGGCCGCCGGCTCGGCCGCAGGAAGAGGCTAACAGCGGCGGGCGAGCCACCCCCTCAGCTTTGAGTATCACTTTCAGCTATTCTGGAGGTTAAACGCCTGTTTAGAGCTCCCTATTGAAGGTAGAGCCGGGGGTGCGGCATTGTTCGGACGCCCTCCCGCTTTGTCTGGCCGCTTTGAGGGATGCCCTGAATGGGAAGCGGCCCCCCCAGCCCAGCACCCCGGCAGAAGGGCTCCCGGGGGAGAGGCGCTTCCTCCCGCCCTAATGACATTCAGGCCTCCATCGGTTCAGCTCCCGCTTTCTTTCTGCTGCAGTTTAACCCGGGCACAGAGGCCGGGCTCCATCTTACTGATCTCTGCTTGACACCCAATTACCACATGAATGGGAGAGAAAGGCTGCAAAAGGCTTTAACTCCCACTGACCCTCCTTCCCCTCTGCCTGCTTCCCTCTCTCCCCGTCCTACCCCCTCGCCTTTCTCCGGCGGAGGGAGTTCAAAACTGAGACGGGGAAATCAAACAAAGCCCCGAGTAAGGAAACCCATTGTCACCGCCTCCGCGATGGCTCCCCTTTCGCCAGCTATTGTTCCCCTTGAAGTTTGACTTGCTGTGTGGAAGGATGCGAGCAGCTGTTTGTGCATTCCCCTGATGTTTTATTGAAAAATAATTGAATCGTCAATTCGGGGCTCTCTGATAAAATGTTTCCTCGCAGAGCTAGGCCCTGCTGTATTTATAAACTACGTTTCCTTCTAGGATGTGATAGCAACCTAAAACGTTTCCTCCAGAATAAACCCTCCGTGGAGGAATGGAGGCATGTTCCTTCTGCACTCAAAAAGAGAGAGAAAGAGTGCAAATGGCAGGAAAAAAGACAGAAGATAGGAATGAGACAAAAGAAATGAACACTTCTTCACTGACAGGCTCAATTTCCAACCTGTTCCCTTTGCAGTTGGCTTTGTGGGAGGGGAATGGGAACAGCAGGAGCTCCTGGTCAGTGGCCTCCTGCCCCAGTAACCTGAGTGAGCACCACAGCTACCCGGGTTTTATGTTTATCAAGCACTGTCCATGTTTACAGCACTTCAACAAGGCAGCATTACCTTTTCTTGAGGAGATTGCATGCTTAGTTTCCTCATCCCAAACATATCCCAGAGAATTTGTAGTGCTCTGATTTCAGCACGCAGCATGGAG